TTTCCTGAGACCCAGGGTCCTTCTTTTTATTTCCTGAGACATATTATGGAATAGTGGGAAGAGAAATTAATTAGGAGACAGAAAGTCTGTCTAAGGATGAAAGGAATGGAAGAGAGTGGTCACAAGACTAATTTACACCTGGGGTTGAGTCCTTTCTCTGTTACAAACTAGTCCTGTGAACGTACGTACATACCCAAATGCGCTGAATTAAATTCTTCATCTGTAAAGTGGCTTTCATAAGCTGTTTTGTGGGAATGTTGGAAAGTATGTAATGTATGGAAAATACTTGGCACGATGCCAAGCATATCTTGGGTATTTCACAAATGACAGTTATTACTGTAATTATTTAGACTCCATCACTAAAACCCTCAACTATGTGACTTGTGTTTTAATTCAGGATGTCACAGAGAACAACAACCTGCTATAGGACAAGACTATCAACTTACACAGAAAGGGTGCTTAGCGAGTAAAAATGTAAATTCTTCCCCTCAAAAGGTAGGGATGCACGAGTCTTCTCCTAGCTGGCTACAACTAAAAATTCTTAGAATCTGTGTAAATATTGCTCCACTCTTCAAGCTGCCCTTCAAACCAAATCATGTATAATTTTTCGTGCACTTCACTCTCATGTAATATCTATCCTTTGCTAATAGAATTGCCCAATTAAAATGAAGATAACCAAATTTAAATGTCCTTTGAATAGAGTGGCTCCCCAGCAAGAGCAAACAATTCAAGTACAGTGGGTTCTGCTTTTTTTATTTCAAGGGAGCATTGCCTCTATTTCTCAGGAAGCCCTTGGAGATGATTTACATAAAATACTTAGTTTATGTACTGTCCAACTTCCCTGGAGCAAATTTACAGGGCACAGTTCAGTACTTCCCCAGGTGGAGTCTCTTCTCTAGTTTATCCATGATCCCAATGTAATAGCTACCAACAATTTTCCACTCTAGGGTGTTTATTCTCAACTCTGTAGTACAATAAGCAAGAGACAGACCGTTGCTTTACCTCCACAGCATTATACTCCCTAGGACCTAGACTAACTTAAAAGTAACTCACATTGAAAAGCTAATTTCCCAATTGCCCAAATGTTCTGTGCCTTAAGTTGTTTACACTTGATTGTTTTCATCTAAACCAGTGGTTCTCAACCTGTGGTTCACGACCCCTTTGGGGGTCAAACGACCCTTTCACAGGCGCCGCCCCAAACCACCAGAAAACACATATTTCTGATGCTCTTAGGAACCAAGACACTGATCCTCTATCCATCTCCAGGCGGGTCTGTCCACACGAAGATATGCCCACATACGAGTACATGCATGCTACACCATACTTCAAGACATAAATTCATTGATTTGTAACTAGAAATATATATTTCACAATATATAATTACATATTGTTTTTGTGATCAATCACTATGCTTTCAATTTGTAAAAATGAAAACACATCCTGCAGAGCAGATATTTTCATGATGATTCATAACAGTTGCAAACTTACCGTTATGAAGTCGCAAGGAAAATAATGTTATGGTTGAGGGTCACAACATGAGGAACTGTATTAAAGGGTCGCAGCATTAGGAAGGTTGAGAACAACTGACCTAGACATTTCACTGGTAAGACTGACAGTCTTGGAAGCCGTAAGAAGCAGTTCTACTATGTCCTATAGGGTTGCTATGAGTCAGAATTGACACATTAGCAATGGAAAACATCTTAACATCTCACAACTAATACATATCCTTAGGATTTAGAGGGGGCCCACCGTCTTTGTTATATGATTGCAGGTTCTAGAATCTAAAATTCTTAGCAAGACTTGAGTCTTAGTTACCTTGTTACCTTTGTACTAGTGCAGTGCTTTATTTGGGAAATAAATGAAACAGAGCATGAGGTTTAATTAAGATTTAATTTCTCTTATGTTCTCTATGAACAAATAAAACAAATGCAGGTATCTCTTATTTTTACAGAGAAACAGACTAAAAGATGTAAGAGAAGCCAAAAATAAACATCTTTTCACATTTTTCTATTTCTTTGTCCCCCAAAATTCAAAGCTGAGCTGTTTTATACTTTCAAGACAATACCCATTGTCAAACTTGTTTTAAAATTAGTACAACTTATCCTAAAGTCTTAAAACTACCAATAAATTTGACCAATGTCATTCATAAACTTAGAATCCAATGCTAAACGGAAAGGTTTTGGCAAAAAAAAAGTGGAGAATCCCCTCATTCTTTGCTATTGGTGGAGGACTTTCTAGGTGCGCCTTTGGAAGGTTTTTTGGCCTTGTGAGGAGTAAACCTGGGTGAAATTTTGGCTTTCTCCTCCTCATCTCTCAAAGCAGCTTCATATTGTGATGAGTAAAATGGAGTATCAGAATCATTGACCCTGGCTAAATATTCAAGGAATTTTACCTTGTTAATTTCAGCATGGGCCCTTGGACCCCAAAGGAATTCATAACTCACTGGATGACGATTGGGAATCCGTCGGTATTCCAGATACGTTTCCATCACTAGATCTCTGGTGATGAATTTTCTGGGTTCCCCATAGATTATATGATTCTTCCTAGAATATATGCCCATTCTATTCAACACTTTCCAGATTTCCTTCTCGGGGGCACGGTTGCCTTTCATGAAGAGCACACCCAGGATAAAAATCAGCAGACCATTCTTGGGTAGGGTCTCCTCACCAGACAGCATCTTATTGTAGGTGAGACCCAGATTGTTGCAAAGGACGTAGCAGTGGTTGATAGGATCCTCTTCTCTCACTTTAATGCCAAAGACCAGCTCCATGCGCTTAGAAGCCATAGTGAGGAGTTCAGGAAAGTGGTCTTCATATTCTCTACTGACTACCTTCAGGATGTCTTCCTTGGTGATCACCTCTCCCTGCTGGTACTTAGTCAGCATGAATTGCACCAACAAAGTCATCTTCTCATCTAGACAGGCAGGCAAGTTATTTGCGTCTAGCATGGGCATTAAGGTGCTTGGATTTTTCTCATCTTGGTTGCTGAAGCTCTCATCTGATCTGTTCAATGACGCAGAAGAAGAAACCCAGATACTCTGAGACCCCTGCGGAGTACTGGATGACTCAATAGCAGGAGCCTCTTCCAGTAGATCAGAGACCAACGCAGAGGAGATGACGACCTCTTGTGCAACGATAGAAATCGGTGTTTCATCCTGCTCACTGAAGCTTACAAGGCTTTGATCACCTGTGTAGTCAGAACTTTCTCCACTCTGAGACATTATCACAGAGAAGCAGGAATGTTTTCAAAAAGGCAAACACTGGATTTCCACACCTAAAATAGAAAGACAGGATGTGAGCAGCCTAGGTTGTTAAGCTCAATAGTGCCAGCTCTGACAGTGGCTGCCTCCATCTTTCTTTTCCTCAAGAAAATGCTCTAAGTGTTCGCAAGTCTCTAGCTCACCCACTCAGTCTGTCGCAGAACAACTTGAAGGCAGGAGTGAGAAGGTTCTTCAAGGAATAGCTACCACACCAGACCAAAGCTTCCCAGGACTGAGAATAAGTAGATAGGCTTGGGATAGGTGGAAGTTCCTCTGTTTTGGGACTGGGTGGTCCCTTCAGTATTAATGGAGGACTCCTAGCACAGCTTGAACCATGTGTTGGTTTGGGTTGACTAGAGAAACATATTTATACACACTCAAATGTGTATAAGAAAGACCTTTATATGAAAGAGCAATTGTATGTAGAGAAAACATCCCAACCCAGTCCAGATCAAGGCTGTAAGTTTAATATTAGCCCATATGTCCAATACTACTCCATAAATCCCTTTTTAGACTCATGCAGAACATGCAATGATGCCGATTGCAGAAAGATTACAGGCCAGTGGGTAGAAGATCTTGTGGATTGAGTGGCAGTGGTAACATCTCAACTCTGGTGTGGGTCTCCACATGTCTCCTCAAGCTCTCTGGGTTTCTCAACAACAGGAAAGAGAAGGCAGAGAGTGGATCTGGCCTCCAGTGAGCTATTTATCTCTGTCGCACCTCCAAAAGAGGTCATCAGGTTGCGACCCGACAGGCTTTGCTCCTGTAACTGCCACAGACCACCTCCCTCTTTGTCTCAAAGAAAGTCCTCGTCACTTCCCTTGAAAGCCTTGAAGAATATGGGAAGGGAACCCACGTTGACAGCTTAGCTAGATACTTTATAGTACTGACACCAGTAAGATTATGTAAAGCCCCTATGCTCTGAGGAGATGGTTCTGAGTCTCTGAAACAAAACCTTCACCTCTCTGAGACTTCCAGGTAGAAATTCGAGGTAATCTTAGCCTAACAACTGTTCTCAGTGCCTCCCAGGGCTGACAGCAGCAGGATCCTTTTCTAGGGTGGGTGAACCTCTCAGACCTCATTCAGGGTCCTCATTTTACTCCTCGCAGGGCCTGTGATGATGTTATGTAAGGGCAACGAACCTTTGTCACACGCAAATCCCAGGCTAAACCTGCGTGGACCCCCTCTGACACCTTCCCTCTGTTGGCCGGATGTAACTTCCCTAAAAGCAAGATTCCTCTTCGGAATCTGACATATTTGTGTATTCTGCGGCTTACCAAGGGGCTTCATAACAAAAGCGGAGTTCTACTGAGTTCTTTGCAGATTTCCTGGAACTGAGATCAGAAATGGGGACACTTAGCACTCGGGGTCCTGGCTTTGAAAGCCCCTGGAATGTCTTCTGAAACCTGGGGCTACAGGCTTTGGCCTAAGACTTTAATGCACAAGTAAGGAAAGAAAGGCGGAAGTTCTGTGAGCACAGTTATTCCAGAAGCCTTTGGGGCAGAAGGGAGAAGTGGGTGGTGCCCCTTCCCTTTACCTTTGAATAGTCCGTTCTTACCTGACTGTGGCACGCGGCCCGCCTCTCGGACTCCGACTAACCTGAGGCCACACCTTTCAGATCGAAGCTTCCACTTTCCGGAGCGCTTTGCAGCAGGAGAAAGCCACTTCCGGTGGCTGCGACACTCCGCTCACGTGAGTTCCGGGTTGAACGGGGGCGTGGTCTCCTTAGCTCTGAGATCCTCAGTCCTCCCTCAGGATCATTATTTAGACGCTTTACAGAGCCAGAGATTACACCTTTAGTTCAAGGTTGATAATCTCCTAGAGACCTCCCTAGGTGGAAGTGATGTGTACCTCACCCAGTCTTCTCTACCCAAGACTTCTCAGGGATGGCAGAGGAGGTGGTGCCAATAATACCTCA